TTCCTGCTGTTAACACACAGATATCGGGAGGCTTACTCAGTGCAGGTACACACGTGTGCACGTACACATTCGTATACATATACCCTTAGCCAGGGATCATAGACCTCAGGATACTTGGGTAGAGACGTCACTTGCTTGCTGCTGTATGTCTGTTCATACATCTTACCTGTTCTTAGGCTCTAGGAGCCCTCTTCATTTGATGGATAATTGGAAGCCAGAAGGTTTACTTGCCCCTTCCTCCCAGCCCAGGCCCCAGCTCACTGGTGGGGATGTGCACAGAGCAGGCAGCCCACCCTCCCTGGTCTCTCCCCACAGAGCCTGGTGGCACACCGGGTCCCACTGAAGCCATATGCAGCGCCTGTACCCCGATCCCAGTCCCTGCAGGACCAGCCCACCCGAAACCTGGCTGCCTTCCCAGCCTCCCACGACCCCGACCCTGCTGTTCCCACACCCACTGCCACACCCAGTGCCCGAGGAGCTGTCATCCGCCAGAATTCAGATCCGACCTCCGAAGGGCCTGGCCCCAGCCCAAATCCCCCAGCCTGGGTCCGGCAGGATAATGAGGCCCCACCAAAGGTAAGGACAGCCCTTCATGACTGGGGAAGAGCAGAGAAACACAGTTGATCCTTGAACAACTCACAGATTAGGGGTGCTCCCCACACACAGTCAAAAATCTGCATATGACTCTTCGATTCCCCCAAAACAATTACTGATAGTCTTCTGTTGACCAGAAGCCTTACCAGTAACATAAACAAGTTGATTAATATATGTTTTATGTTACACGTATTTTATGTATTATGTTTTTGCAATATAGAAAGCTGGAGAAAAAAACGTTACCAAGAAAATTATAAGAATGAGAAAATACATTTACAGTACTGTGTGTTTCTTAGAAAAAATCTTTATATATGTGGACCTATACAATTCAAACCCATGTTGTTCGAGGGTCAACTGTAGTAAGAGAGGAAGTTGAGGGAGCAGCAAGGTGGAGATGGATTCAGGGTTGGGAGGGAAGAGAAGGGCAAGGCATCCGCCATGGCCCCTGTCCTCGTGGCACATGAATGTGTCACAGTGATCCCAGTGGTGAGTAGGTATGGAAGAATGTCCAGGGTGTTTGGGAAGCACTAGGGGCAGACTTTCTGGGTTAGAATCCCAGCTCTGCCATTTTTCAGCACCATAACTAAACAAATTCATTAGCTTCCCTGATCTCAGTTTACTTCTCCATTAAAGCCAAAAGAATACCTTTCAGAGTCTCAGATGAAATGTTTGTGGAAGGCCTGGCACAGTGCTCGTACCAGCCACACTGACTCCTCTTTCCTCTCTCCTTAGGTGCCTCAGAGAACCTCATCTATTGCTACTGCCCTTAACACCAGTGGGGCCGGAGGGTCCCGGCCAGCCCAAGCTGTTCGTGCCAGGTAACACATGGATGGAGTTGGTCAGCAGCCTAGGGAGTGGGGTGGGAGGCAGAGGGGAGTTTACCAGGTTACCCGCTTAGGGGTGGGTAAACCCCTACCCAGTCACCTCAGCCCCCTCCCTGCCCCTGCCCCCGGCACCCCTGTGCTCCCTCCACAGACCTCGCAGCAACTCCGCCTGGCAAATCTATCTGCAAAGGCGGGCAGAGCGGGGGACCCCCAAGCCTCCAGGGCCCCCTGCTCAGCCCCCTGGCCCGCCCAACGCCTGTAGGTAATGGAGTTGTCCCCCCACTCACTCCCACCCTCAACTCTGCCACCTGACTCCTCTGGTGATGGTTCCCTCTGCGGTGCAGCTCAGCCCCCCAGGAAGGGAAGCACTGTGTCTCTCTGAACTTGCTTCTGCTCTCCTACAGTAACCCTGACCTCAGGAGGAGCGACCCTGGCTGGGAGCGCTCAGACAGTGTCCTCCCCGGTTCTCATGGACATCTCCCCCAGGCTGGCTCACTGGAACGGAACCGTGTGGGAGGTATGTGAACTGGGCCTGGCAGCCTGCTCTCGGGCCTGGATAGTCTCTGTCAAGGTGGGCCCTGTCTTTGGCAGCATGAGACCAAGACACCCTTGGAGGCAGGGTGGGGACTAGGCTGGGTGTGGAGCATGTCATGGAGCGCTGGGGCTCAGGCCTGAGGGGTCAGCTTAAGGCCATCCCCATCCAGGCGTCAGCGACCTCCCTTCTCCTACCTTGCCATATCCAGCTCCCTCCAAACTGGACAGCTCCCCAGTGCTCTCCCCCGGGAACAAAGCCAAGCCTGATGACCACCGCTCACGGCCAGGCCGGCCTGCAGTAAGTCATTGAGTGGCAGCTGTGGCCCTGCCTTCTGCTGGTCTGGGGCTTCGGGGCCAGCTGTGGAGTCTTTCCATCCTGGGTGCCGAGGCGGGATCTTCATTAATCTGCGTGAGAGGATGGGCTGTGGGATAACAAATGTACTTTTCAGTTACTAACCTTTCTTAACCTCTCTCCTGCCGATTCCTGGCTGCCCTTCTTCCCCTGTGGCCCCTCACAGAGCTATAAGCGAGCCATTGGTGAGGTTAGTGAGAAAGGGGCCTGTTTGTGGAAGCCCCTCCTCTGACACTGCCCCTTTTCCTCTGGCATCCTTTGTACCACTGCCCTCTCCCCTTCCCTCCTCACACAGCTCCTTCCCTGCAGGATTTTGTGTTGCTGAAAGAGCGGACCCTGGATGAGGCCCCCCGGCCTCCTAAGAAGGCCATGGACTATTCATCGTCCAGTGAGGAGGTGGAGAGCAGTGAGGATGATGAGGAGGAAAGCAATGGCGAACCATCAGAGGGGAGCAGAGATGCCCCTGGGGCCCGGTATGGGGGCGTCCTAGGGGTGGGGACGCTACCACATCAGAGGCACCCAGAAAGAAGGGTTGCAGGTGTGGGAGAGGGCTCTGGAGTGAGTGTGAGGGAAAGTGGTTCCTCTTTTCCCAGAGGTGGCAATCCTGGCTGTCATGCTGGTCAGTTCTTCTTCCCCTTCTCTAAAGAATGGAGTATAGGAGCTGATGTTCTTCTCTCTCCCACTGTCTTTTTAGTAGAGGTTGGGCCTCCTCAGGTGCCTGTCTTCAGCCAGCCTTCCCCAGATGCCAGGCATGGGTCACCCAGAAGTGAGGCAAAGGCTGCTTGTTGAGGGCTGAATGCATCATTTTAAATAGAGACTGAAGCTGAAAGCACTAGGCCTGCTCTCACCTGCTTCTGTGGCATTTGGGTGACAGGCAGGGCCTGGAGGGCCTCATGACCTTTCTCTCTCCCATAGCAGTGATGGGGACACAGACAGCGTCAGCACCATGGTAGTCCATGATGTAGAAGAGATAGGCGGGACCCAGACCCCCTACGGGGGTGGCACCATGGTGGTCCAGCGTGTGAGTAGGCACCCCGTTTTTCCCAGTGCCTGCTGTATACCCTCCTTGGCCCCAGCACTGACCTTCTTATTCCTTTAGACTCCTGAAGAGGAGCGATGCGTGCTCCATTCTGATAGCAACGGTTACACAAACCTGCCAGATGTGGTCCAACCCAGCCACTCTCCCACTGAGAGTAGCAAAGGTCAAAGCCCCCCCTCAAAGGATGGAGGCAGCGATGTAAGTAGGTGCAGGCAGGTCCACAGGGTGAGGAAAGAGCACTGGCAGTGGGTGGGAGATTCCAGGGGTGCTCAGGCACTGCGGTGGTTGGGCAGAGTGCCTGAGAGCTAGTTGGCCAGAGTTCTGGGGGAACCTGGGTCCTGGGAACAATAGCAGGGAAAGGGCCATGGGCTGGGGTCTCATGTGCTTGTCTACCACTCTTACCCTCATAGTACCAGTCTCGTGGGCTGGTAAAGGCCCCTGGCAAGAGCTCGTTCACGATGTTTGTGGACCTAGGGATCTACCAGCCCGGAGGCAGTGGGGACACCATCCCCATCACAGGTGAGGATGGGAGTACAGGTCTGCCATGAGGCCTGGAGAGGGGCACAGGTGAACATCTGATGACACAGCTTTGCAAAGCAGTCACAGTCTTCCCTTTAACCTGAGCACCTGCCCTGGCACAGAGGCAGCAAGGGCTTCGGAGGCTGCTTTGACCCAAGAGGAAAAATGCTCAGAGCAGCCAAGGACTTTGTCAGGCTTTTTGTTTCAAGTCCTCCATGCATCTCCTTTGTTCTCCAGTGTTTCTCTTTCCTTCTGAGTATTTGGAGGAGCCAAGGACAAGTGTAAGGGTGGGGTAAGAAGAGACGTGTAAGGGAGCAGCAGTCCACCTCCTCTCCTCTCTCTCCCTGGCAGCCCTTGTGGGTGGAGAGGGCGGTCGCCTCGATCAGCTACAGTATGACGTGCGGAAAGGCTCTGTGGTCAACGTGAACCCCACCAACACCCGGGCCCACAGTGAAACCCCCGAGATTCGGAAGTACAAGAAGCGATTCAATTCCGAGATCCTTTGTGCAGCCCTTTGGGGTAAGCCAGGGCCAGGAAGGAAAAGAGGGGTCTGGTGTGCCCCTGTGCTCCTGGTCAGGCGAGGGCCTGGCTCTGCCTCTGATCTGCCCAAGGGGTCCTATTGCAGGTGTCAACCTGCTGGTGGGCACGGAGAACGGGCTGATGTTGCTGGACCGCAGTGGGCAGGGCAAGGTATACGGACTCATCGGGCGGCGGCGTTTCCAGCAAATGGATGTGCTGGAAGGACTCAACTTGCTCATCACCATCTCAGGTGTGTGCGTGGAGTCTGGGGACAGGGGACAGGGCTGGGAGGAGGTGGCTCAGCTCCTCAGCTCTCTTTCACCATCTTCAGCCTGGGAGGAGGGCAACCTTGGTCCAGGAGCCAGAAGGTGGGGCAACACTTTCTCACTCCTTGTGGTATGCAGAAAAGGATGGCGGGGAGGCAGAACTGGACCTCCAATAAGGGAGTTGTGTGTGTATGTGTATGTGTGTGTATCCTTGCCCTGCAGGGAAAAGGAATAAACTGCGGGTGTATTACCTGTCCTGGCTCCGGAACAAGATTCTGCACAATGACCCAGAAGTGGAGAAGAAACAGGGCTGGACTACTGTGGGGGACATGGAGGGCTGCGGGCACTACCGTGTTGGTGAGGAAGTCACAACAGAGTGGCCAGGGCGCATTTGTTTATGAGAGGAGAGAAACGAGGGCCTGGGCTTAATGTCCTTAAAGCCAGAGACCTGAGGTTGGGATATAGTGAGTGACAGACCTGTGGGAGGGGGCCAGCAACCTAAGAAGGGAAGTCCCAGCTTCCCTCTCCTTTCCTGCCCCCAGTGAAATATGAACGCATTAAGTTCCTGGTCATTGCCCTGAAGAACTCCGTGGAGGTGTATGCCTGGGCCCCCAAACCCTACCACAAATTTATGGCCTTCAAGGTAATCCCAGCCTAACCCCCTAGCACCGTTCCAAGGTCTGACTCCTCCACCTGTGTTCCCTGAGCCCTTCTTTCCTCCACAGTCCTTCGCTGACCTGCCTCACCGTCCTCTGCTGGTTGACCTGACAGTAGAGGAGGGACAGCGGCTCAAGGTCATCTATGGTTCCAGTGCCGGCTTCCATGCTGTGGATGTGGACTCAGGGAACAGCTATGACATCTATATCCCTGTGCACGTAAGCTTGGCAAGGCTGTGGGCTGAGAGGGACCACCAGTCTGGGCCCCACATGCAGGGACTCCAATCTACCCTCTCTCCTCCCCAGATCCAGAGCCAGATCACACCCCACGCCATCATCTTCCTCCCCAACACTGACGGCATGGAGATGCTGCTATGCTATGAAGATGAGGGTGTCTACGTTAACACGTATGGGCGGATCATTAAAGATGTAGTGCTTCAGTGGGGGGAGATGCCCACCTCTGTGGGTAAGTGAGGTGCCTGCCCCCAAGCTGCGGGTCATGGAGCTTGCCAGGGTATGGGGCTGAGCTGCAGCCCAGTCACTGCCTGTCAATTCCCTTCTCCATAGCCTACATCTGCTCCAACCAGATAATGGGCTGGGGCGAGAAAGCCATTGAGATCCGCTCTGTGGAGACGGGCCACCTAGACGGGGTCTTCATGCACAAACGAGCTCAGAGGCTCAAGTTCCTGTGTGAACGGAATGACAAGGTGGGAGCCCCTTGCCCCCTGGAAAATGCCCAGGCCCCTGCACTGGGCTGGCTTCTACACCCTAAGTCGCTGCCAAGGAGAGGATGATTGTGGAATCTCCCTGAAAGGGGGCCTTAGGGGAACACAACATGCAGTCACAGCCTCCCCTTCCCTCATCTTCAGTTTCTGAGAATTCTCCGGATTCCTTCACCCTAGAGGTTGACCAGCTACCCTCTTCCCCAAGCATTTCTGCCCTTCAGAGGGGTGGGGTGCTCTGAGAAACTAAACTCTGCAGTTTCTCCCTCTCTCTCTCAATTAATTGAACTGCCCTCCACACCCCCCATCCCTTGGTAACTTCTTCCCCTTCCTTACTCAGGTGTTCTTTGCCTCAGTCCGCTCTGGGGGCAGCAGCCAAGTTTACTTCATGACTCTGAACCGTAACTGCATCATGAATTGGTGATGGGCCCTGGGTGGGGCTATCCCACATGGACCCAGCTCTCGCCCCACAGCCAGACTTCCCAGGCTGCCCTTCTTTCCCCTTCCTGGGCTTTGCTTTTACTGGTTTGATTCACTGGAGCCTGCTGGGAACGTGACCTCTAACCCCTGATGCTTTCGTGATCACGTGACCATCCTTTTCCCTAACATGTTCTCTCCCCAAAACTGTGCCTGTCCCAACTTCTGGGGAGAGGCACAGCTTCCCCTTACCAGGAATTGAGTGGGCCTGGCTCCCCCTTTTCTCCACTTAAGAGGAGAGTGCTTGGGGCTTGGACCCCATCCCCGCTGCTGCTGACTGGGCAGGGCCCTGGGCCCCTTTATTTGCACGTCAGGGGAGCCGGCTCCCCCCTTGAATGTACCAGACCCTGGGGGGGGTCACTGGGCCCTAGGTTTTAAGGGGGTCACAAGCCACTCCAGGGGCAGGGACCATTTCCTCATTTTCTGAAAGCACTTTAATGATTCCCCTCCCCCCAAACCCCAGGGACTGGAGGGGGGACCCCGCCAGCCAAAACGTTTCTCCCTTTTCAACCTCCATCTCTTCTAGCCTCTGCCCTTCCTTGGTGGAGGGTGGGAGCAGGGAGCTCTCACCCTCCACACCCCCTTGCTTGCATCTGTATATAGTGTGAGCAGCAAGTAGCCCTGTCCCCTCCTCCCTCCGCCCCCTTCCACCCCCTCCTCAATGTAGTGGCCTTGGATATCCCATTTGTTAATAAAGACAATTCAACCAGCTCCCACCATTTCAGGCCCCATTTTATTCTCTTGTTTTTTCTTACAATCTTGGATACTAACCAAAGCAAGCCAGCAGAATAGGGATGAAGGGGGATGGGGGGCTGGGATCTGCAATTGGTGAGTCTGGGGGGTGGGGTGGGCAGTGCTGGGCCAAGAAAACCTAGAAGAAATGACTGAAGGAGGGCCAGGGCACTCTTAGCCTTAAACCTGTGGGGGATTGTGGGGGACCTGTTCTGAGGGCATTTTGTTCCTGCAAAGGGGTTTCTCCTGTGTGGCTCTCAAAGACAGCTTAGACGCTCACAGGGCTAGAGGGTCCCATGGGGCTGGTGCCTGAGCAAAACTGAGAGGTCAGCAATGCTGAATAGAGGATGGTCCTTGCTTTCTAGAGGATTGGCACCCAAGAGCCTGCCTGAATTGTCTGCCCTCTTTCTGACCCCTCTATGGTGACCAGGACTACATACTTGTGCACACACAACATGTGTTTACAAAATAACTGCTTTGTTAGTAGCAGTGGGGAAGAATCATAATATAGCAGTGGCAGCAACTCATTTTTCAAAATCTACTCGTGGAGTTGGGTGGGAAAGTCGAAGTCAGTGCCGTGACCGGCTTAAGTCTACATACACGATGGGTAGGGCAGTTCTGGCACTTGGTTGAAGTAACCCCCGAGGAAGATGAGGCTGGAGCCTACACTGAAGAGCACCAGAGCAGCCCAGAAGCAGATGTTGTCAAGGGCCTTCCCCATGCGCACCCAGTTGGACAGCTCCTGGGGAAGGGGCAGGCACAAGCTGAGTCTGTAAAGGCTGCAGGAACCTGGGGCACCCCACCTGCCTCTGACTCTTGTCCCACCTCGTTGGTGGCCTCCTGGTCTCTAGTGCTCTCGGCCACGAAGTTCACGGCGTCCACACAGCTGCGGACCTCAGGGGCGGCAGCGCCCAAGCTCTGGCAGAGGGCAGCTGTGGGGAGACAACCCTGATATGGGTTATTAGGAGCCCACCGGCTGCAGGCGCCCCCATTCACCCACCCAGGTCACTCTGCTCACCGGTCCATGTTCCGTGCCGGTGCCTCTGGCCCTCAAACACAAGCTCGCTCCGTGGCTTTTTCAGTATCAGCTCCTCTGCGCGGAGCAGTATGCCCACGGACGACGCCCGTCTAGGGGGCGAGGCAGCCCGGGGGACCTCGGGGGATTCCACGGTGCCCAGGAGGCGCGGCAGCAGCTCCAACAGGACCTGGAGGCGGGGCCGTGGTGGAGATTAGCTCGAAGCCGCGCCCCCTACCCTGGAACCGCCCACCCCACGCTTACGTGGCGCAGACGCAGGGACTGGGCGTGAGTGGTGGGCGTCCGCAAAGACACGTTGAGCACGATGACGCAATTCATGACAATGAGCGTGGCAACAACCATGACGAAAATGAGGTACCTGAGGAGCCCGAAGTGCGTGACGTCACAGCCTCCCCATGTTCCCGGAACCACAGAGAGCGCCGCTCTCCTCTGACCTCACAAACAACTTTCCGCAGGGGGTGGAGTGAGACTCCTGAGTTGCTCCTTTGAGGGGCCACACGCGTCCCCTGGTTCTTCTCCCCTTCCTATCGCTCATGGCAGCCATGAAGGGAATCCCCAGCTCCTTGGAAACCCTGCTGTGGGTCTACCACTTCCACAGCTCCACGGAGGTGAGGCAACGCCAGTGGCCCCTGCCCCAGGATGGCAACCTGAGACCCTCTGGGAAGGTCTGCACCGCCGCCCCCACCGTGACTTCTGTCCTATGAACTCATGGCTCCACTGCCCCTGCTTCTCCTCCAGGTGGCCCTCCAGCCTCCCCTTCTATCTTCCCTGGAACTAGCTGTGGCCGCAGCCCATGAGTATCTGAAGCAGAGATTCAGAGAGCTGAAGTCCCTGGAGCCGCTGGAACCGAAGAATACGCCCGCTCCGAAGCCCACCCTGGGGCTGGTGCTAAGAAAAGCTGTGGCAAGTTTCGTGAACTTCGGCGCCACCTTAGAGGTGGAGCGCTAGAGGACTGATGAGAGGGGGGACAAGGGATAGGGACCTCTGTATCCTAACTCCTATACCCACACTGCAGATCTCAGCCCTATGGCTGCGGCAGTCGGTGGGCCGACTAGATGGCGACGACGGCAGCCCGGGACCAGACTCCGGTGATCCGGGTGGAGCGCTGGCCCAGGTAGCCTAGGCTGTGGGGCAGGGTGCTCGGTAAGCGAAGGTTACCGCGGCTTCTGCTCCAGGGGGCGAGGCTATGCCTGTGTGGACGGGGTCTACAGAGGTCTGCCTCATTTCTGCAGCAGTGGCGACTCCAGCTGGGCTTCGGAACCTCCGGGGAACCGGTGAGTTCGGGATGGGGGTGAGTTGGGGGCCAGAGGCCGCGCGGCTGGGGAGGCACTGAGCCAGCCCGTCCCCAACAGAGATACTCAGGAGACTCAAGACGTCCAGCAGCAGCGCTGAGGACGGGGATCCAGAGACTCCATCGCAGTCCCAGCCCCACTTCGCGTTCAAATAAAGCCCAGGCCGGGATGAGACAGCTTAAGCTGCTCCCGGAGTTTTTTGGTGTTGGCCCCGCCCTCCCCCGCCTCGTCCCTCTTAGCTCCGCCCCATGCCAGTCTGGCTCCGCCCCTCGCGTTGGCCAAGACCGTATATGGGCACCGCCGAGACCCGCTGTGCCCTCACCTGCCCAGCAATGGCACGCTCAGAGACGTCTCTGGGATTTTCTGGGCAATTAGGAACAAGAAGACGGTCTGGGCGAGCAGGACGTTGATGGAGACGGTGCATTTCTGGCCGCCGGCTGGAGGAGGGCCCAGTGAGAGCAGCCCTCCATCCCCCCCAAAGCGAGCCAGGATTTAGGGTTGGGATGACAACTTACCCTGCGCTGGCAGGAAGTAGGCGAGTAGTACCAGGCCTGAGATGAGCACGCAGGGCACTATAATGTTAATGACGTAGAAGAGTGGCTTCCGGCGAATGATGAGCGTGTAGATGACGTCAATGTCCCTTGGACCATCAGGGGAGCTACCGTTGTGGCGGCGGATCACCCCGGGGCAGAAGTCAATGGCCCACTCGCCATTCTCTGTAGGACGGGCGGCGAGTTCAGTCCGCCCTCAGGGGTGGGGTGCCCTGCTGTGCTCTGTGGCCCCACACTTGACAGCGGGAGCCTGTAACTTTGGGCGGGAGAGAGGAGGCAGCTGTCTGGACCAGGGTAGGTGAGGCAGGTGGTCTGGACTGCTTGGGCATGGGCCGACGGCATGAGGACAATTCGGCCGGAAAAGGACATTCTTGGTGAGGGTACAGAATTACCACGAGGAAGTAGGACTAGTCTGACAATCGAGAATGATTTCAGGAAAGGGGCAAGTTAAAGTACGCTTGCCAAAGTCAATTCCCTGTACTGATGGTCTGGGGCAACCCCATTCAAGTCTCCTCCCTGGACCCTCTTCTAGAAGCGGATTTTCGGAACAGGAGGCGACCTCACCAGTATAAGCCTCAGTGTCGATATCTATCTTGCTGATGGTCTCTCCGTCATCATCCACAGCAAAGACAAACTCCACCTCTTCAGCATTGTACGTCTGAGAGCTGCGGAGGAGCCAGGGCCGGGGGCCGAACCCCAGAAGATCGAACCCAAGCCCTTGCCTTAGGCCCTGCCCTCGAAGGTGGGATCTGGCGGGATAATAACACTCCACCCCATTACCCAGACCACGCTTGTTGCCACCCTTACTTCTAACTCGCTGGAGTGGGCCCACCCATCCCAGTGTCTGGCTCCGCCTCCAGGTTAGAGTTCCCCATATGGCTCCGCCCCCTGCTCCCGTAACCCCATAATCGTCCTGGCCTCTAAGTAATTTCCCACCGGAAAACGAGCGAGCAGTTCTGCCAGTCGAAGGGGAAGTAGGTGACCTCCACGGCGCAGGTGCTGCGGTAGATGGCCGGTGGCAACCAACTCACGTAGCCGCCCTGGGAGACCAGCACGTTGCAGTCGTAGGCCACGCCGAACTGGCCGTCAATGCTGTAGGCTCCCGGAAACCCAGCGTTTGCGGAAGTCCGTGGCTCCTCGCCCTCAACCAACACCCTGTCCCAACCAGGTCCAGCCCAGTTTCCCTCCTACCCGCCCCCTCAGGACTCGGGTTCCTTCCAGCCTGGCTTCTACCCGGTCCTCACTTGTTTTCCAGCACAATCTCTGGTAGCCATACGAGTTCTGAAGGGACCCGCAGGGTTTCAACGCCCCCAAAGTCTTCCTTGCTGTAGTTCAGTCGGTAATCATGCCAATCCTAAAGGGTGGGAGTGGAAGGACATGTGCCCTGCATCTCCCAACTACTGTACGTTAGGAGTTTGGAAGAAAGGGGGACCCTCTCTAGGGAGGGAACAAGACCTCACACTGTTCCCCAGAGTTGACTCACGATTCCAATCCAGACGCTGCTGGTGAGAGTCTCCTCTTTTTCGTTCTGCAGATGGGCGATTAGGATGATTGAAATGGTTTTCCAAGGCCAGAAGTGACCTTTAGGACAGAGTTCAGCTGCTGGGGCCAGAAGTGGAATCTTAAGCTCAGAGATGGTGGTTAGGGTGGAGATGGGGTATCTTACCAGTGAGATGAGGTTGGTCAGGGTGACCTTGAGGGTAATGGTAACAGTGTCCTCAGGCCCCCTCACTGGCCGACGTTCTGGGTCATAGTTGTCGAAGAGATGATGATAAAGACGTAACTCCTCATTCGTCCCCTCACCTCTCCCTGGGGATGGGGTCAAACAATGGAGTTTACTAGTGATGAAGATGCTATAGGAGGCCTCTCCTCTCTGCTTCTTCTGAGTCTGTGCAGGGCTCTGCTTCTCTGTATATCTGTCTCTGAGACTATTATTCCATGTGTGCCGAAGCAATGATATTGCACCTAGTCTCTGTCTTTGTCCTGTCCCTTTATGATAATATCTCCATGTGTATGTCTGACCACCTCCCCTGACCCCTGTCCATACCGAGGAGCTGCAAGAGGACCAGGGCGCTGAGCAGAGCCCTAGCCATCCTGCTGTCTGGTCTTCAGGGTTATTCTGAGCTTTGGCAGGCTTGGAGTGGGCCAGGCCAGGGTACTTGAGTGAGGGGAAGAAGGGTGTTAGTTCCGGGCTGGGTTAGGAGACTGTCACCTAATCCTTTTACCACCCCTACTGCAGCCAGGGACATCTTGGCTGCTTCCAGAGGCAGCTGCCCCATCCTGTGTTCCCTGCCCCCACCCCATTCCAGCATCCTTTGCCTGGTCTTTGGCCAGCTCCCCAGCCACAGGCCTGATCCTCTCATGACCGGAGCAGGCTCAACTCAGGTGAACAGGTCCTTTAAGAGCGCCTGGAACCACAAGCCTGCAGCAGGGGATGGGGGGCCCCGTTTTGACATGCGCTGGTGTCCTTTGAGTAAGCTTCCCTATGCAGGTCACACCTCTTGCCTCTCATACTCATCCATGTGGAACACACACTACCACCACCCTAAGCCCAGCCAAGGTCACACTGATGAATTTTCTATTGGCAGTTTGGCAAAAAGCAAAGTTTCTGTAAAGACCTGGTAATGAGACAGGCAGTCACAGGGAATTAGTCTGCAGTAACAGACTCCATCTGGCAAAGGAGCTACTGCATTACAGGCCCCACCTACTCCCATAACCTATCCCCATGTCTGCCTACCCCCAGCCCCCCTGAGTGGGCACCTGCCAGACAGGCCAGTTTCTCCTTGTCTCTCACTGCTGCCACCTTGTGGCCACATGTGATAGTACTGCCTTCCCCACCCAAAACACATACACGCCTTAATTGATCCTTTCGGTACTCCTTAAAGTTTCCCTAGACCACCCTAATCAATCACCTGAGATGCTAATTTAAAATTCAGGTTCCTAGGCTCAATTCCTAAAGAATCCCAGTTTAGGAAGATAGCAGAAATGGTGTTCTAGGAATCTGTTTTTAAGAAGGTATCCGTGTCTCCATATGTGTGGGAGGTACTGCTGAACTAAGCACTTTTTATGCCTTACACATTGCTTCCTCATGCCAGTCCAGCAAAGCAGTTACCATTGTCCTGAATGTACAAAAGAGGTCTCTAAGGTCAGGTACAAGGTCATACAAATAGATTAGCAATAATGCATAAGACTTATTAATCAGCTTTGTTAATCATGTATACCTGTGTTCATTTTACATTTCACTTTTATGGCCATTTTGGGGTCTCTTTCCTGTACCTGTGAGGTCCCTCATAATTGCCACCATATTACCAGCGAGAATACTAAAGACCAGAAGGTCCATGCATCTTGTCCATTTCCCACACATCCTTGAAGCCTCTGCTTCCACTGCCAATTGCTTTATCATTCCATGTTTCCCATTTTAGACACAGAAAAAATCTGTTTGGCCCAACTCACCTCCTTGCATATGGCTGATACATGTATTGACTTTAAAACCTGTGCTGCTGCTTATTCCACAGCCTCTGGGTCAGGGCCTGGGCCAATAGTTGTTGTGATAAATACAGATGTTTATTCAGACATTAATGGGCACCTGCAAGGTTCCCTGCACGGGCCAGATGTTATTATAGAGATGAGTAAGACGTGGTCTTGAGGAGAAAGGAGAGAACTATAAGCAGACAGTGACATCAGAACTGTCAAAAGGGTAAAAAACAGGAGCTATGAAGCTGTAGGTAGCGTCTTTGTGTTACAAGAATGAGATCCACAAGGCAGATTTCCTGTCGGCATACACGTGAACTGAGACAAACTGAACCAGTGTCAGAGGCCAAAGCAGCTCTGGAGACCAGCCACTCCCACCTCTCCTGCCTCTGCTCTGTTTTCTGTGCTCCTCTCACTCCTGACCAGCCTGCCTTTTCTCTTGACTTTATGTGTCCTCTTTATACTGTGTGGTTTCTGCATCATTTCACCATGATCTTGACCCCAATTTGACCACTTGTCTTCTCTATGTAGATGTAGCCAATTCAATCTTTGCTGTCATCATTATCTATCTGATGCCATGAGGCTATGGGTTCAGGCCTGGAACAGTCATGGCCTAAGACAGCCCCATTTACCAAGGGTGGTAGGTGTGGCTACCTGTCCAGAGCCTTCCACCCCTTACTAACCAAGCCTACTGCCTATACATTTCATTCCCAAAATACCCTGTCATCATCCTATTCTTATTGCTACAACGGATAAAGCACTATATTCTTCCCAGCAGGATTGAAACTTGATGTCTTCCAAAAATAATTGTGGCAGGGGCCCTTCAAAACAGCTCTCAACATCAGAGTTCAGCATCCACAGGTTTATGTACAGTCTCCTTTAGATGTGATTTCCATCCATTCTCCAGATATGAGCTAAATCTTCAATTTAATCACCATTATTACATCATGTATAAACAATACTCCTCTCTCTCTTTCTCTATCACACACACACACACACACGCACATGCGCGCGCACACACACACACACACACCACATCATATAAGATACAATGGTAGGGCAAAGCCACATTATTATTACATCATGTATAAACAATACTCCTCTCTCTCTTTCTATATCACACACACACACACGCACGCACATGCGCGCGCACACACACACACACACCACATCATATAAGATACAATGGTAGGGCAAAGCCACATTTGGACCAACAACCTGCATGTGGGAGAGTAGTTTGGGGTGGAGAGAGAGTATGTAGAAATCCTCGTCCTTTGATGCCCAAGCTCATGTGTTGCAGCTTGAATCATTGGCCCAGCATGTGTCACATTCTAAAGCAGAGCACCTTTCTGTAGGGTCCCCAACTGGGACTATAACTCATGGGTGAAGGTTTTCCTCAGATCAGTGAACCCCACAGGTATCTCTTGCAAAGTCAGCACGTCAGCAACCTTCCCCCTTCCCAGTCCCCCACCCCCATCCTTGCCCCTTCCACAGTCTATGCTACTGGCACAGAGCTGAGCCATCAGTTTGTTTTGTCTTGTTTTGTTTTTCTGTTTGCTCAGGATGACGATTACCTGAGAGACTGAGACTTTCTGCCAAGTTTGTGGAATCAGGCACCTAAGTTAGGCCTGGGTTTTGTATTTTTATAATGAAAATTTCACAGAACCTCAGTGGTCTGCCTGACAATTTTGTTTCTGGAGATGCCTTGACTTCTAAGCTAGACCCAAAGATCTTAGCTCAACAGGAAGCCACTCCCTTTATCTACTGCTTCTTGGCTGGTAACTCAGAACAGCTGCAGCTATCCCAGAGGCCAGGCCTGCCAAGCGTCTGAAGCGTCTGTTTCTTAGTCATCAGTGTCCTCACGATGAAAATATCCCCCAGCTCCTCTGATGAGAGCCCTCTTTTTCTTTGTGAATGGGGAGAGTGAATTGGCTGAGGGTAGGGAGGGGCAGCAGACAAAGATTTCTAGACTGTCTCCCTCACTAGAACTTAAGTTCTCTGATCACTAAGACCTTGCTGGTTTACTGTGTTCAAGGCATATAGCACAAACCTTAACACATAATGGGCACTCAATAATTTACTGAACAAATGGATAAGTGAAAGAATGAGTGTCTTACCTTCCTAGCACCCTCCCTGTTACTGAGAACTGTTCTCCAACCATTTGACTCCAGAGAATCCACCAGGTACTCAGAGACCCGCCACCTCTGGCCAGAGTTGATAGGTCCAGAAGAGAACACCTGACCCAAGCCAGGTCAAAAAAGCCCTTCCTTGGGAATTTTGTCAAGTGGGTACTGAGGAAGTCTGGTCTCTCTCTGCTGTAGGAGCCACAAGATACAAAATTTAGATTCATATTCATTCCTCATCTTTTACATGGTTGAGAGAGAATGCAACTGATACACAAAGACAAAAAGAGACAAGAAAGGGCCTCCATCATCCCAGCGCCTGGTCCCAAAACTCCACTGGCCCAGTTGTACTTGTTTCCTCCTGCAGACTGCTTGTCCAATACTTCCTTTGAATGAGGTACCTCAGAATCTCTCCAATAAAGCCCCCTTTTCTTGGCTTAAAGATATTAGGATTAAAAAAATAATAAACTAGTATAAAGAAAACAAAAATGCCTCATAACACAATACCCAGAAAAACTCTGTGACAATAAAGTAATACATGTCATCACTAGAACAATTGAAGAATACAGAAAGACATAAAATCAAAAGCTTCCCTGTGTCTACGGCCATGCCACCCTGAACGTGCCCGATCTTGTCTGATCTCGGAAGCTGAGCAGGGTCAGGCCTGATTAGTACTTGGATGGGAGACCACCTAGGAAGACTAGGTACTATAGGCATAAAAAATAAGGGATTGTAATTGACAAGGTCCTTGCAATCTGTGAGGTCAACCAAGGGTTGCCTTGCCTAAAAAAAAAAAAAAAAAGGCTTTCCTGTTTCTCCAGTCCCTCTTGCAAAGGTTAACAGCTTTGGTTAAATGTAAATCTTTCTAAACCCAAGCCCAGCATACCTAGGTTTATATATATTATACATATATATACACACACATATATATACATATATATATTTGTATCCAAATATATATGGATACAAAAAGCATCACACTATGTTTACTATTCTGCAACTTTTTGTAGAGATTGGCCCATATCAGTACCTATAAGTCTTCCTCATTCTTTTAAACTGCTGTAGTGTTCCACTGTATGAATGTACTATAGATAATTTATCCGGTTCACAATGGATAGACATTTAAAGTGCTTACCATTTTGGGTTTTGCAATGATAAACTATGCAACAGCAAACATATTTATGCATTTATCTTTAGTATACTTTTGCAAATACA